TATATATATATATATCCATTTATATATTCATTTGTATACCTACTTATATGCTCCTAATTATTTATATTTATTTATATAGTTCCATATATATTCCATTTATGTATATCTATATATTTATATGTTTTCAATTTATATACTCATTTATATATTTCCATGTATAAAATGAAAAGTACGTTATATAACTTTCTCTCTCTCTCTATATATATATATTACATTTAACATTCAATTTATTATTTATTTTAATGTCAATGTTCTTTTTTGAGTTGTATTTAAATTTTTTTTACGAAACTTGAACTGTTTCGAATATTATTCGTGTATCATAATATTCTGAAAATTTCAAGAGAGAAAAAACAAAAGATATCATTCTATGTTCATTTTACAGACGAACCTGGCCCTCCTGGTCGACCAGAGGCAGCCGATTGGGACAAGGATCACATAGACCTAAGATGGACTCCACCCTTAAACGATGGTGGATCTCCAATCACTGGGTACATAATTGAGAAACGCGAGAAAGACAGTCCACGATGGATAAAAGCTTGTGAAACCGGGCCTGAGTGCAAAGGACGCGTCGATAATCTCGACGAAGGTGTCGAGTACGAGTTCCGTGTGAAAGCTGTTAACATCGCTGGACCTGGTGAACCATCCGAAACCAGCAAACCGATCACAGCGAAAAGTCGACGACGTAAGGGACAGTTTTCTGTATTTATACTTTGTCATCATTAATTAAGTGACACACAAACCACGCTGATCAATTCCACACGAAAAATTAACGTCAATAATAATAAATTACGTCAATGTACTTTGTATGATAAGTTCATTTGCGGAGTATTAAAATTCATCAAGGACCAAACAGTAGTTCATTAATAGTTAATATTCTAGTTTTCTTCAATTTTAGAAAATTCTAAATCCTAGAAGATTAAGAGAAATTCTCTTAATATTAAAAGATGATAGGATTTGTCAATACAAATTGATTGGAAACAATTATAAATGAAATTTTATCTTTAAGTTTCTTAGATCCTAGATCTTTAGATTTTATCTTCAGTTTTTTTCTTTAACGTCGCTGTTAATTGTTTTTTAACAGTTGCACCTAAGATCGACAGAAAGAACTTGCGCGACATCACGGTACGCGAGAACGAAGCGTTCCACTTCGATGTCAAAATCATCGGAGAACCACCACCAGATGTTACATGGCTTCTTAATAACAAGAGTATTCAACAAACAACGTTCCGCAGGATACAGAACGTTCCATATAACAGCAAGTTCTTTAATGACAAACCCGAACGAAAAGACACTGGCATTTATAAGATCACGGCTATCAATCAGTATGGATCTGACACAGCGGAAGTGGAAGTCACAGTTGTCTGTGAGTATCCATTCATTTTGTTGTTTGAAATAATTTTTATTGTCTATTTATTGTTTATTCAAATGTTTCATTATCACTTATCAAATAGTAATACGAGTAATTGTTTTTTTTCATTTAATTTTATACGAATAAATTATAAATTATTACATTAATACATGGTAGATTTTATTATTAAGTTTGTGGAAAAAATTAATTGTAAAAGACAAAGTGATTTTTGCAAAATAAAGATCACAAAATTATGAGATCCTTGTTTAATTAAAATTTCGTCATTTAAATCGCTAATAAATCTCTGCATAACTTGGTTCAGTTGTAATATTTAAAAACTCCAATTTCATTAATCAGAATTTTATTCAAAATAATATAAATTCTCTGCCTATCTAAACCAATAATTCTTTCGCAGCTAAACCTGGCAAACCCGAAGGACCACTCGAAGTATCCGACATTCACGCAGAAGGATGCACCCTCAAATGGAAGAAACCAAAGGACGACGGTGGAGAACCGATCGAAGCGTACCTCGTGGAGAAATTTGATCCAGATACTGGTGTTTGGTTACCAGTCGGTAAGACGACAGGACCGGAAATGAAGGTAGAAGGACTGACACCTGGACACGAATACAAGTTCAGAGTGAAGGCGCTTAATAAAGAAGGAGAATCGGAACCACTGGAGACGTTCAGCTCCATTGTGGCCAAAGATCCATTCAGTAAGTGCAAGTATTAGATTTCAATAATTTTATCCAGTTGATCTTGAAATCTATATATAATATATCCATATCCAATATCTTAATGATTTAATAAATTTTTCTCGTAGTATAATAGCTAAAAGTGTGCCAGTAGTACGGCAGTAGTATAAGTCAAGCATTCAACAATTTAGATTCACTCACACATTTCAGTCTCTTAAATTCTTTAGATTCATAACAAATTATTCTCCAGTTATAATTTTTGTTAATATAATAATATTTTATTCTCTGTTGGTGATGTATTTTTTATAACTTCATAGAAAGGTATAACGAACGTTTTATACTAATAAAAATAGAACTGTATAATTATATATATACAATAGAAGCGTGCAGCTTCTGCAACATATGAGTATAAAAAATTTCGTTATAAAAAATTAAAATGTTATCAAACAAATTCTTTCAGCCGTACCAAGTCCTCCTGGTGCACCAGAGCCAGTTGATTGGACCGCCAACCAGGTTGAGCTTACTTGGAAAGAACCAGTCAGCGATGGTGGATCACCGATCACCGGATACATCATCGAGAAGAAAGACAAATACAGCACAATGTGGGAGAAGGCTTTGGAGATCGAAGTACCAACCACAAAAGGTCTTGTTCATGGACTCATCGAGGGTAACGACTACTTGTTCCGCGTGATAGCTGTGAACAAAGCTGGACAATCAGAGCCTGGCGACACCAGCAAAACATTCACCGCTAAACCACGTTATCGTAAGTATTCTTTTATTAATTTCAGTCTATTAATGATTTAATCAAGCCGAAACGAATTTATGTTTCAATGACCATGGCATCCGTCCAATTTATTTAACATCGCGTTCTATCCCTGAGACAAAAGAAGCAAAATCCTCATCGGAACTGCAATGCCATACATAGTTCGTGGATAGATATATCGTTAACGATACCACACCCAATACTTTAATATAAATATCAGTTTTTGGCACCTGATCCAATACATCGCTCACATATAAATTGTAACTTCGACAGTGGCACCCAAGATCGATCGGCGCAATCTTCGTGATGTTACGCTGTCGGCTGGTTCGCTATTGAGATTCGACGCTAATGTGATCGGCGAACCACCTCCGCACATCGAGTGGCGATACGGCGCTATTCCTCTGCATTCCGACAGAAAAGTGCAGATCGACAATTCCGATTACAGCACGAAATTCAGCATACGTCCGGTGTCACGGGACGACAGCGGCGATTACACTGTCACGGCCAATAATTCTTCTGGAAGAGATTCTGTCACCGTACAAGTCACGGTTACCGACAAGCCAATGCCACCTGAAGGTCCGCTTCAGGTGACGGACGTGCACAAAGAAGGATGCAAGTTGAAATGGAAAAGACCGAAGGACGATGGCGGTACACCTATCGAATATTACCAGGTGGACAAAATGGACCCGGAGACTGGATGTTGGGTACCTTGCGGACGATCTACCGAACCTAGTAAGTTCTCTGGCACAACTATCTATAATAATAATAATAATAATAATGTATATAATATTTAGCGATTTCTCTATATTAGTTTATAATAATAATTGTAGTAATATATATAATAATTATTTATAATAACATATATAATGTTTATTTATTCATCTATGAGTCTAAAAATCTAGATAATCAATTTTCTTGATGTTCGAATTTGATATATTCATTTTTATTTCGATCTTGATTTTTAATTTCGATTAATTTACACTTTGTGATCAATTATCAAACGAGTTGTAAAAAGAGAAATTTTCTACAG